TTGTCAGACTGTCTCTTACAAAATACACTTTCCCTTTTACAGAAACCCATTCATCCCAGCTCAAGGTGGTCAGAGCTAGACCTTCTTATTCTGTTAGGGACGGTGGGCCACGTCTTGAGCCTGGGTGCCAGCAGCTTCGTGGAGGAGGAGCACCAGACCTGGTACTTCCTTGTAAATACCCTGTGTCTAGCCCTGAGCCAAGAAACCTACAGAAACTACTTTCTGGGAGATGACAGTGAGCCTCAGTGTGGCCTCCATGTGGAACAAGGGCTCGACAGGGTGGCAGCAGCGTGGCAGGGTGGGCCTGGCTGTGACGTGCTGGAGCGAGGCAAAGGCCATGGCAGCCCCTCTCCCTCCGAAGTGCTCCAAGGCAGCGAGAAGTGGATGGTGCTGGCCAGTCCGTGGCTCATACTGGCCTGCTGCCGGCTACTGCGCTCCCTAAACCAGACAGGTGTGCAGTGGGCCCACCGGCCCGACCTCGGCCACTGGCTTACCAGGTGAGAGCAAGGGCCCATGGCCACGGGCCAGACTTTCTACAGCTGACTGGTCACCTGCCAAGCTCTTCTTTTTCTAAATTGAGGCCATTTTTCATGTTAAGAATGGAAAGTATTTGAGCTCTGAAGAAATGGGAAAATATACTAAAACCCGCGAATCAGTGTTGAAAGGAGAATTTATTTGGGGGCTAGCCTAATAGGTTTGATTTATTAGTGCTGAACCACTGTAACTGTTCATGATTGAAACTTGTAAATGTTTCAATGATCATTATATAGTAAAGCTGTCAATTGGGGGTCAGGCTTGCTCTGGATGCCCTGTCCGTGCCCGGGCTCTGTGCCCCTGTGCACCGTGCCCCCGCCCATCACTTAGCGTCTCCCTGTGTCAGGACGTTCCTGCATTGCTACAAAGAAATACCTGAGGCTGGGTCATTTATGAGGAAAAGAGGTTCACTTTGGCTCTCAGCTCTATAGGAGGCACGGCATCGGCATCTGCTCCTGGAGAGGCCTCAGGAAACTGAGTCATGGCAGAGGGCAGAGCGGGAGCCAGCACATCGTAGTCAGGGCAGGAGCAAGCGAGGGTTAGGGGAGGCGTCAGGCGCTGTTAGACACCAGCTGTGTCGTAAACTACCAGAGTGAGAAGGCACTGATTACCGCGAAGGTGGCACCAAGCCATTTATGAGGGATCTGCCCCCATGACCGGCTCACCTCCAACACTGGAGGTCCAATTTCTTTTTGTTTTTTGAAACAGAGTTTCGCTGTGTCGCCCAGGATGGAGTGCAGCAGCACAATCTCTGCTCACTGCAGCCAAACTCTGCCCTCCCAGTTCCAAGCGGTTCTTCTGCCTCAGCCTCCCAAGTAGCTGGGACTACAGGCGCCCACCACCATGCCTGGCTAATTTTTGTGGTTTTAGTGGAGATGGGGTGTCACCATGTTGGCTGGGCTAGTCTCAAACCCCTGACCTCAAGTGATCCACCCACCTTGGCCTCTCAAAGTGCTGGGATTATAGGTGTGAGCCACTGCACCTGGCCTGAAGGTCCAAATTCACTGTGAGATTTGCAGCGGACAAACATCTAAACCATGTCACTTCCCCAGACCCATATCCCACTGCTGATGCTCCCCAGGCAGCAGGAGGGAGGGTCAGCCAGGCGAGGTGGACACAGCCTCTGTGGCCCAGTTTTGCCCTTGGCTCCCCTCCGTCCTCCTCTCCATCCCCCCTTTTCTCTCTCATCCTGAAGGGACAGAGCTGTGTGGGGGAATCTTCAGCCACCTCCTGAGCCTTTCACTGATAACTGGAAAACCGCCAGGAAAGTACAGCAAATCACGTAGCAAATCATTTCCAGCAAGGCTTGAAATAAGTAGAAGAAACTAGGACAGGAAAATAATTAAGATTTGCCTAGGCTTTAAATTTTAATTGTCTGGCAGTGAAGACTTAGGAAAACTGAAGTAAAAGAACAGCAGAATTCAACAGTATCTATGGTGAGAGTAACAGACAAGGGTTGTGGTCTTATCACTGCAGAGACTCCTGTAAGAAATGCCTGCAGAAGGAAAAGAGAAGTGCCCAGTCCTAATAATGAGGGGACTTCAGTTGAGTGACAGGGTGGAACGTCATACCTGTTGAGGCAGAGAAACAGAACTGAATGACGAGACTCAGTCTTGGTGAGCACAGGAGGATTCCTGGGCCCTCAGTAGCGGCACAGTTCTTTCGGAAGATACTCGTACATTTACATCAGAAGCTGCGAAATTACAGGTTCTTCTAATTAAGTAATTCTTGTGGGAGGCTAAGCATTGGCTAAATTACTAAAGCCTTGGTAACCCAGGTCATCACAGGTCGTGTTCTTCAGGTGTCTGCCTGCTGTGTGCCCACACTTTCCTTTTCAGAGCAACCCTGGAGGGAGGACTTTGGTTGTTCCCCGCTCCAGAGGTGAGGAAGCGGAGGGGAACGGGCTGGTGGGAGGTTGTGCTGGGCGCACCAGCATCAGAGTCACAGCCTGGCATGTAGCACAGCCAGGGGTGTCATGGAGCTCCGTGTCCCAGAATAGCACTGTTGACACCTCATTTCTTTCTTTTCTGGAAAATTAAAGCATTAGGAGAGGATTGGCTTCTTTCCACCCTAGATGCAGGAACCCCACCTTACCCAGTTTTACTTACCCGAGATCAACCATCCTCTGAAAATATTACAGTATTTTGAGACAGCCAACATTCATATAACTTCTATGACAGTAACAATTATATGGTTATAATTGTTCTACTTTATTATTATAAAAATCCAGAAGATTGTGTAAAAACATGTGCCATCTCAAAAGCAACAATATACAAACACCCAGGTGCCCCCTCCCAGGTGAGGCTCAGGGCCCTGTGTGGCCCCAGTCTCCCCCTCCCATCCTGGGAGGCTTTGAAGTGGGAGTTACAGTGAATGAAACAGAAGGGAGCCTGGCTTTCACCGCCCTCACACTCAGGCCAGGGCTGGCTGGTGCTGCACTACCGGGACACAGTCAGGGCTTCAGTCCCTGCCCTCTGGAGAGCTGTCAACCTCTGCACAATCTCCTCACCCAGGAGTGGGTGACAGCAAACCCCGTGAGAGGCCAGGTGGGTCCAGGGTTGGATTGTGCATTACTGAGTTAATGGGAGAAGGCGGGAGAGAGGACATGAGCGGGCTGCATGCTGGTGGAGGCAGGGCTGCCCCCGGAGAGGGTACCAGGAGACAGAAGGCTTCTTCTGTCTGTCACTGCTTGGCCTCTGGACATCCGGATCTGATGATGGGAGACCCATTTGTGAATGAGAAGTGAGAGTTCAAGTTGACTTTTTTTTTTTTTTTTAATAAGATGTCTCACCGTGTGGCCCAGGCTGGTCTCAAACACCTGGCCTCAAGTGATCCTCCCACCCTGGCATCCTAAAGTGCTGAGATTGCAGGTGTGAGCCACCACACCCCACTGAGGTTGACCATCTTTTATTTGTTATATTTTAAGAACCTTTGTGGCTGGGCGTGGTGGCTCATGCCTGTAATCCCAGCACTTTGGGAGGCCGAGGCAGGTGGATCACAAGGTCAGGAGTTCGAGAACAGCCTGGCCAACAGAGTGAAACCCCATCTCCACTAAAATTACAATAAATTAGCTGGGCATGGTGGTAGCCGCCTGTAATCCCAGCTATTTGAGAGGCTGAAGCAGGAGAATCACTTGAACCCGGGAGGCAGAGGTTGCAGTGAGCTGAGATCATGCCATTAAATTCCATCTCAAAAAAAAAAGAACCTTTGAAAATAAAAATCGATGATATCATTTAATTTTTGGGTTTTGGGAAAATCAGCTATTTTTAATATAGTTCTTTGGAAGCCACTGGGTGTAGATTGATCTCATCGCTGTTTGGTGGTAATGTTGGCACTTTCCATTTCATTTCAGCTCTGATCACAAAGCCGAGCTCTCTGTCCTGGCTGCCGTCTCCCTCCTCGTCGTTTTTGTGTTGGTGCAGAGGGGGTGCTCTCCTGTGTCCAAGGCTGCCCTGGCACTGGGGCTGCTGGGCGTCTACTGCTACCGGGCGGCCATCGGAAGTGTACGGTTTCCCTGGCAGCAGGACAGCAAGGACATTTCCAAGTAAGTGCGTGGGTGTCACGGGTGCTCATAGATCCACTCTGATCTTGTGTTTTTTTTTGAGACGAAGTCTCGCTCTGTTGCCCAGGCTGCAGTGCACTGGCGCGATCTCGGCTCACTGCAACCTACTCCTCCTGGGTTCAAGCGATTCTCCTGCCTCAGCCTCCTGAGTAGCTGGGGTTACAGGTACGCGCCACCACACCCGGCTAATTATTTTATTTTTAGTAGAGACGGGGTTTCACCATGTTAGCCAGGATGGTCTTGATCTCCTGACCTCATGATCCACCCTCCTCAGCCTTCCAAAATGCTGGGATTACATGCGTGAGCCACCATACCCAGCCCCCGCTTTAATCTTTTATCATCTGAGAAGACCATATCAGTCTTCAGAGCACTGGAGTTCGGTGTCTGTGATCATGTCAACAGCTACTGGAGTGTTAACCAAGAAAACTTCAACCAGCCTCGTTGTTAGCACTTTTTATGTTTTACGTTTAGGAGAGAAATCACTTGGAAGTAAGATTTTTTAAATTCAAAATAAAACCTCCAGGGTGTGTGATTGGACAGACAGATGCGTATGAATCAGTTTCTAAGTTAGTGGCAACACATGGTTACCAGGGTTCCGTTTTCCTGGTCAGGGTGTGATTGGTGATAAGGATGACATGGATGTTTCCTAGCATTTGGGAAATGAAGCTTGTTGGAAAATCAGACTGTCCCTATAATTTATAACAAGCTCCCTTAAGGGACAGGAGCTCTCACTGATTGGTGGGCGGGCTCCGTCAGGAGTACCATTTTCTTCATGTCAAAGCAGCCGCTTTTCTGGTTTTAATGGCGATATGGTGAAACAGGCTCCTCTCACTCCTCAGGAGTAGGATGAGCAGAAGCCGCTTGTAAAATGTGGCTGACCCTGTATTTAAATGTAAATAGCTGGCTCTATTTAAATTTGTCTCGAGAGTATAAGCAGAGGCGGGAGCCTGGGGTGGGACACAGGCACACCCAGCTGAAGTGTCCTTCACACTTGCGAACAGGAACAAGCAGGATGATTACCAGCAACAATACAGTGACCCTCTGAGTGAGGTGAGAGCTCTGTCGAGTCTTCTGGCTGTCAGGCAGCCTGTTGTCACAGAACAGAGAAGCATGTTGTGGAACAGTGGGATGTAGAACAATAGTATGACCCCAGCTTACTGTGTTCCTGTTCTGTTTTTTCACATTTATATGAAAGACTGCATACTTAAAATGCTAGTGATTATATTTAGGACCTGAAATCATAGATTGTGGTCTTGCTTTTTACTTATTTTTGTATCTTAGTGATGTCTAGAGTTAACAAGTGTTGCTTTTCTAATCAGAGCAAAAATCAAGGTGAGTAATAAGGGCTATGGCCAGCCTGGGGGGTGGCCATGGGGCTCTGGGGGCCCTCCTGGAAATGACTCGTGGCTGAGTGGGAAGTGAGGGTTGGGGGTCAGGGTGAGCTGAGGCCTGGCTGCGGCAATGGCAGTGTGGCAGACCTTCACCCGAGCCTGGGGCCCAGTGGGGAGAGGGTGCTGAGGAGCAGGTGCCAGGGGTATTCTGTGGAATCTGAGACTTTGGGCTCATCCAAATGGATGCTACGTTTGGGGGTGCTTGTTTAAGGTGCAGTGTATGAATAAATGCATTTCCTCACAGATCTATACATTGAATTTCAGCAGCACTCCTCTCAAGACTTGGCCCTCTTCCCTTCCCTGGCCTGCTTCCTGCAGCACATCCTTTGCTAGGGTCCAGAACTAGCCAGTATGGCTTTTCTTTCCACATGCACTGCCTGGTCCACCTTCTTCTGGTAAAATGCCTGCGTCCTTTGTCCCCATCTGTCCGGATTGTAAGTAGGTCCTGGCTGTGGATGCATCCTGGCTCTAGATCATTGTAACAGCTGCCTCTCTCCTGTCAGTCCCCTGGGCCCTGCTGTCCACTGAGAGTCTGAAATCCTTCGCACTCAGTTCCTGACCTTTCTCCACTCAGAAGCCCAGGCATGGCTGGAGTGGAGGTGGAGGCGGGGTGGGCCTGAATGAGCAGGGTCAGGCGCTGCCCAGCCAGGGCAGGAGGAGGACCCACCAAACACCCTGGTTGAGCAGGGTCAGGCGCTGCCCAGCCAGGGGAGGAAAAGGACCCACCAAAGACCCAAGATGAGCAGGGTCGGGCACTGCCCTGCCAGGGGAGGAGGAGGACTCACCGAAGCCTCTGGATAATGCCCCTCCTGCTCATCACCCTGCCTGCCCTGGCATGCTTTCTTGACAGAAACCAGTCCCTTTTCTTCTATGAAACTTCTCCAGTGATTGTGACCTTTGCTGGTTTCTCCCTTCTTTGAGTGCAGAGGGGTCTATAATTCACTCTCAACTTAGCACACACCTTGGCCTGTGGGGGTTGCCAGGTACCTGACCCTAGCTCCTCAGCCAGGATGTGGGCCCCTAGAGGCGGGCCACACTGCCAGGCATGTGGTATACAGTGCACAGACTGTTTGAATTACACTGGTCAGTTTCTTAATGCACAAAGCTTTCTAGGAAGATCTGTTATTGGAAAATTCAGTTTTCACAACATTATTATATTGACATAAAACATTTATGATTATTTTAAATGATCGGCTTTTGCAGTATATATAAAGTATTTCATTTACAAAATTTATTTAAAATATTATGTTTCAGGAACATACATATTTTGTTAGATGACATTTTTTGGTAATTGTCTCCTTTACAGATAACTATCATAATAGTACTTAATGTTTACTGAGCTAACTGTGTCCCAAACACTGCCTGCATTCCCTTGTTTAATTCCTAGGATGACCTTGTGAGATGTAGAACCATTTTCCCTTCATTTAACAAATAGCAAAGCTGAGGGTCAGAAGTCTTGACTGACACGCCCTGAGCAGGAGAGCTAGCCACAGCAGAGCCCGGTCTGAGCAGAGCTCTGCCTTTCTTCAGAGTCCGTGGGATGGACGACAGGACCATTGCATGGACGTGTACCTGTAAACATGCAGGCGCTTATTTACCTATGACCGTGCACAGACGTGTGTGTGTAAACGTGCAGGCGCTTATTTACCTATGACCGTGCACGGACGTGTGCCTGTAAACGTGCAGGCGCTTATATATCTATGACCGTGCATGGACATGTACCTGTAAACGTGCAGGCGCTTATTTACCTATGACCGTGCACGGACATGTGCGTGTAAACGGGCAGGCGCTTATTTACCTATGACCGTGCACGGACGTGTGCCTGTAAACGTGCAGGCGCTTACCTATGACTGTGCATTTGTGTGTACCTGTAAATATGCAAATGCTCTGTTGTACAATTCACATTTATGAACTTACAACAGTTTCTTAGAGTTGACTCTTACACTAGTGCATTGGGTTTTTTTAATTAACTGTGCAAAGCAGGCAGGCCGTGAGGCATCGCATGGGTGTTGCCACCAGGTGATCCT